GATTGCCACAGAATTTAAAGACCTGCAGCATGAAATGACCTCAGAGAACATTCAGTAAAATCTCTACATTTTAAAAATGACAGAATTATCACCCAAAGTCCATAGTTGACATTAGGGTTCACTCTTGGTGTGCATTCCATGGGTTTGGACAAAGGTGTAATGACATGCATTCACTATCGTACTATCATATAGAGAATTTTGTTTTATTGCCCCAAAAATCCTCTCTGCTCTGCTTATTCATGCCTCTCTCCCTGCTAACCCCTGGCAACCAATGAGCTTTTAATTGTCTCTGCAGTTTAGGTGACGATGTGTCAGTGTAGGTAGTTCATCAATAGTAATGGATGCACCACTCTGGTGGGGGATGCTGATAATGGGGGAGGTTATGCAGTGTAGGGGCAGGAGTTATATGGGATATTTCTGTACCTTCCTCTCAATTTTGCTGTGAACCTAGAACTGCCCTAAAAAAAGTTTAAACATATAACAAAATTGGAAATGCAGATGGAGAAGTCCAAGGTCACAGAGCTGATTTACAGCAGACCAAGACGAGAACCCAGCGTTATGCTGCAAGCTTTATGAACCACAAACTATTCTACCCTGCATCCCATAACAAAAAGTCAAGAAATACTCAGTGAGCACCCACGGTGTGCTATTTCTTGGAAATACAGGTGAGAAATAATAGAGTTGGGGAAATCTCCTCTAGATTCAACTGATCGTCTGCTTATGTGAGTGGCAGAGAAGTGAGGCTATGTGCTGAGGTTTACAGCTGGGATCTGCTTTCCCACAACCATCCCCCCAAAATGCACATACATCCCAGCATCTCTACACTTTCGATACTGCTGTGCTCTGTGCCTAGGACTTTCTACTCCACCTTCAGCTGCTGCTCACCCTCCAAAGGCGAAGCAGCTCATTCCTCTCTCTTCTGTGAGGCTGTCTGTGCAGAATGACTCTCCCTCACACACTTCTGACCTCTGCGTGCTTTGCAAATAACTCTACTACAGAATCTGTGAGAATGACAGTTCTTTATTAGCCCTTCAATTAGACTGGGAGCTCCATTACAGCAGAATTGGATCTCAATTGCTTCTGTATTTTCAGAAATAGACTCTGTGATGAGGTATAGTTTACACGTCCAAAAAACCGCAAGGACACAGATCTACCATTTCTTATTTTCCAGTGTACAGTCTGAGACTTGAAAACATTATAACACAAAAATAAATATAGCTTCTATAATGAAGCATCTGATAGATTATATTGAATATTGTGGATTTAAGAGTTCTGGTAGGGCACAAGCTATGTATCACTAAGATATTAGAACATTTTTTCCTTTAGAAAATTGATTGTCAATGGTATTGTATTTCTCATTGTTCTGAAACTGTTCATAACCATTTAGGTTAACAATTAAGAATAATAATGGGTGATCATTTGCTTTTAAAATCACATAAAATACTTGAAGTAAAGAAAAAACAGCGTGGTCCTAGCTCAGGAACACTCACTCAAGGGGAATCATTCTGGAAGGTTATAAGGCCAGCAGTTATGAGGATAGAAGAAGGCACAGACTAAAATAATAAACCTGGAAAAGAAAATCTATTATACAAAAATTCTGGTTTTAGATTTTTGATTATGTACGAACAAGGCAAAAAAAAAAAATTCAGAGTCAGGTAAATAGTTATTTATCATCCTTGCTGCCTCAGGAACAAGAATTAAATTGTGCTGGAGTAAAAAGTTGTACAATAAAGTACTTTGCAAGTTTCAAATAACCAATTGTTTGATTCAAGATTTAAAGAGATAAAATGAATTGTAATGCATTGAACAAAAATGGTTAAGCTGTTTTTTCCCTAGCACATGTACAATGTATAACGGCGTATTATTAGAACTAAAAGGATTTAGGTTAAAAAACAAAACAAAACCAAACAACTTATCTTTTTTTTAAAGTATCTTTTGCTCCTTTTCACAGGTTTCTGTAAATTGTATTTTGCCTAAACATAAATACATTTGATCTGTTCATTTATTTTACTTTATAAACAATTGATAGAAATACACAGGGGTGGGCAAAAATAAGTATACAGTTGTGAATATGTGGAACAGAGTTTGTTCTTGTATTATTATTTACTAATTATTGTATTATTTTCCATTTGAACAGAACTGTAAACTTACTTTTGCCCACCCCGTGTATATACCAGACTACCTCGGAGATATTTCGAGTTCAGTTCCAGACTCCCCGTAATAAAGTATCTTAATAAAGCGAGTCGGAATCTTTTGCGTTCAGTTTGTTAAAAAGCTCAATGAAGTGACACACAATAAGACGAGGTCTGCCTACGTATGTAAAATGTGGGCATCTTACACATGACAGCCCAGAATTATCTAATTGTAAGGGCTTCCTGGTTATTTCAATTATTTATAAAAAGAATTACAGAGAAAACATATATTTGTTTACTATAATTAAAACATATTCATTATATTTTTTAAATCTTCATTTTTTAAAATTCTGATAATGCCGAGTCTTAACCTTTTAATAGGAATGTTGGTGTGTTAGGTTTACCTATCTCTTCTTTATTTATGTTAAAGATCCAACATAAGACAATGAGGAATGTAGGTCTATAAAAAAATATGAATACTTGTAGTGACAGTTTAAATCCCTTGGCCCTTATGAATGATGGTTAAGAAATCAAGTTCAGGGACATCCAAGATGGCAGCATAGGTAAACACCTGAACTTGCTGCCGCGCACAACCACATTAAAACTACAACTAAAAGACAAAACAAATATCATCCAGAACCACAGGAAGGCTGGCTGAGTGGAAATTCTACAACTAGAAGGAAAGAGAAAAGCGCATTGAGTCGGTAGGAGGTGCAGAGGTGTGGAAGTGCGGAGGTACGGAGGCGCACAAAAGGGGCTGGCAGCGGGGTACACAGTTGTCTTTCTCAATCGGAGGGAGATAGAAGCGCCCGACTGCTCTGAACTCCAGTTCTGGGCAAGAATTTGGGGACCCAGACTCATACAAAGAGAAACTGTACTGCCTGGCATTGGGCCAGAACGTGAGGGTGGCTTTCTCGCAGAGGTGCTTGCAGCGTTCACTGTTCCTGCACGGGGCTGCAGGACACAGATCCCGGGACCTTTCTGAGGCAGAGCAGACTGGCAGCCACTGAGGTTTGCTCCGCCCTGGTGATTCCCTGAGACCCTGCCCCACCCAATTTACAACCCCACCCAAGCTGTGCGCAGAAGCTTTTGCATACGAATGGCCTGGCCTTTCTCCGCCTAAAAACTGTCAAACTGTAGCTGGGTCAGAGAACCCCAGAGATTCCAAAAGAAGGCCTAAGGCTCATCAGCAGCCTGCATTACTTCACAGCTGTGCCTCATCTGGGCACCACCAAACCCCAAAGAGGAAGAATCTGCAGATCTCTTTGTAGCTCCTGCTGGGTGGCCTCAGGCAGTGGCTGACTTTGCACCTCCTTGGAGATCCAAGAGCCAGTCTACCCAGTGGTCAGAGTGAGACCATCCAGATTACAACTCTTCACATCCATAAGAGACACACTCGGGGGAAGACTCAGTGAGCGCCAGAGCCCCACTGAAGCAAGTCCTGCCCCATAAGGGTGTCTCAAGCACAGAAGTTCTCCCATTGTAGACACAACTGGTCCTCACAGCCAATTGACCTGGATGTCAATTCCTCCCAGTGATACCAACAGCAATCAAGGGTTAATTACAACAATACTATGCACACAGCTCAAAAAGGGGTGCACCAAGAGTGTCCACCTCAGGTAATTAGGGAGGCTGAGCCACTGGGCCCTATAGGACACCTAGCACACAAAGCCACTCTATCAACACAGGGAAGCAGCCAAAATGCGGAGACAAAGAAACATGTCACAAATGACAGAAATGGAGGAAAGCAAACTACTGGATATAGAGTTCAAAACCATAGTTATAAGGTTACTCAAGAATCTTCTAGAAACCTCTGAGAAATTTAGTGAGACCCTCAAGGATATGAAAAAGGACCAATTAGAAATTAAGCATACACTGACTGAAATAAAGAATAATATACAGAGACCCAACAGCAGACTAGAGTTAAGAATCAAGTCAAAGATTTGAAATATGAAGAAGCAAAAAACACCCAACCGGAAAAGCAAAAGGAAAAAAGAATACAAAAATATGAAGATAGCGCAAGGAGCGTCTGGGACAACTTCAAGCATACCAACATCCAAATTATAGGGGTGCCAGAAGAAGAGAGAGAGAAAGATATCGAAACCCTATTTGAAGAAATAATGACAGAAAACTTCCCCTACCTGGTGAAAGAAATAGACTTCCAAGTCCAGGAAGCGCAGAGAACCCCAAACAAAAGGAATCCAAAGAGGACCACACTAAGACACATCATAATTAAAATGCCAAGGGCAAAAGACAAAGAGAGAATATTAAAAGCAGCAAGAGAAAAATAGTTACCGACAAGGGAGTATCCATACGACTGTCAGCTGATTTCTCAAGAGAAACCATGCAGGCCAGAAGGGAGTGGCAAGAAATATATTAAGTGATGAATAGCAAGAACCTATAACCAAGATTACTTTATCCAGCAAAGCTATCATTCAGAATTGAAGGTCAGATAAAGAGCTTCACAGACAAGAAAAAGCTAAAGGACTTCATCACTGCCAAATCAGTATTACATGAAATGCTGAAGGGTATTCTTTAAGAAGAGGAAGAAGAAGAAAAAGGTAAAGATAAAAATTATGAACAACAAAGTGACAAAAAATACATATCTATCAACAAATGAATCTAAAAATCAAATGAATAAAAAATCTAATGAGCCGAATAAACTGGTGAATAGAATAGAATCAGGGGCATAGAAAGGGAGTGGACTGACAATTCTCGGGTGGAAGGAGGTGTGGGGGGTCTGGAAGAGACTGGACAAAAATCGTACACCTATGGACGAGGACAGTGGGGGGGGGGTAAGGACAGGGGGTGGGGTGGGAACCAGGTGGAGGGGAGCTATGGGGGGGGGGGGAAGAGAAACAACTGTAATAATCTGAACAATAAAGATTTATTTAAAAAAAAGAATAAAGAAATCAAGTTCAGCTTAATGTAGGTAAATGCAATTGTGCCCAAGGCTGGAATATTTCACTCTGCTTTTGCCTGCAGGTTATACTTTTGTGGCTGGAAAAAATGTTCTTCAATAGCAGTAACTAGTTCATTTAGTTCTTTCTTCAGCTGCTCAGGATCACTGCAAAATAAGGGGGGAAATTCTAGATCAGTGGATTTTCACAAAGCATATTTTATTTTTTAAATACATTTTTATTGATTTCAGAGCGGAAGGGAGAGGGAGAGAGAGATAGAAACATCAATGATGAGAGAGAATCATTGATCTACTGCCTCCTGCAAGCCCTCTACTGGGGATCGAGACCACAACCCAGGCATGTGCCCTGACCAGAATCAAACCTGGGACCCTTTAGTCCCACAGGCGACGCTCTATCCACTGAGCCAAAACAGCCAGGGCCCAAAGCATATTTAAATTCTCCCCACTGTGACCAAGTACAACTGACATGTAACCTTCAGAGGAAGGCTACTAATAAATCAGACAAAACAGAAGTCCAGGGTGCCTAGCCTCTGTTAACAACAAAAAATCCCATGAGACAATATCAATTATTTTCCCCAAAGGCTTTCCCAAAGTCTCAACCATAAACAAAAACCACCCCTTTCTAGTCTTCAAAAGAATGTTTAAGAAACACAATGTTTGCCCTCACATCCCTAAAGTTCTGCAATGTTTGTGCCTAACATTGCAGAGAAAACTTCATGACTCCCGTTGTCACTAAGTCCTGCTGAACTGTTACAAGCCAGAGCTGTTATGCCCTAGGTCTCCCAGGACAAGAATGTTCCTGATCCTGTTTCCACACAACTTCTGGAAGCTAAGTGGCAGGTGTGGCTGTAAGGCCTTCCTAGACCAGACAGGGCCAGGGAACCTCCTAGCGGGCCTGCTAGTCATGCACCAGGAACTCAGACCCTGGGGTTTATCTTCATTATTCTACCTCCGGAACAAAGGGCCACACTAAAATATAAACTCTAATCTAGGGAGCAAGATCCCGCTAAGGAAATCCAGTTTTTAAGCAGGTGGAAAACACTCATTCACATGTAAACGATTAGAAGGCAGATGACAGATAAACCGGACTTGGAATTAGACAAGTTTCCAGCAGCTCATATAAGTGTCAGGCCACTAGCACAGTATGAGTTACTATGAGAACTTTAACCCAAAAAGCTACTTTAAAAAAAGCTACATCCTTCAATTCAAAATTTCATTACTTTATACTTAACTATCTTTCACATACTAGTATACAAACTTTTAAAAATATATTTTATTGACTTTTTTACAGAGAGGAAGAAAAAAGGATAGAGTTAGAAACATCGATCAGCTGCTTCCTGCACACCCCCTACTGGGGATGTGCCTGCAACCAAGGTACATGCCCTTGACCGGAATCGAACCTGGGACCCTTCAGTCCGCAGGCCAATGCTCTATCCACTGAGCCAAACTGGTCAGAGCTACAAACTTTATTTTAATGGAGATGGCAATCCTTGTCACTTAAGATCATTTTTACATTGTGCAAGCTAAGAGTACAACTAACACAACCCATCTTGTTACAGGCGTTAATTCTGGCTCTAGTGGTTACTAGGGTGTGCCCCCGGGAAGGCTCAGCCTTTGGAAGGCCCAGATTCCTCATTTGTAAAATTGGGATAAAGACTGTACCTGCCCAAGAGAGTTGCTGTGTAGATTGAGACAAATTATAGAAAGCAATTAGCATAGAATCTGGCCCCAAAACCTCAATAAATGCAAGCTGTCATTATAATTATTTTTATCCCTGTTGGTAACACATAAAGTAATTATGCTTCATAAGTACATATGAATCATGCAGGTCTTTTTTTTCCTTCCCCGTAAGTGTGCTTTGAAGAAAAAAGCAATCCTCAGGAAGGCACATAACTAATTACTGTGTGTGTTTTTTCAACAATATACCTAAAACTCAACAGTGAATTTACTACATATGGACATACAGACATATACATATCTGTAGTCTACAGAGAGCTATGTATCTTTATAGCTCCAACTGGTCTTGTTTCTGTTAGAACCCTCCCTGATATAATTATCATCTAAACCTTAGCTAGTAAGAGAAAGTCTTTGTTCTTAGGAATGCATATTAAAGTCTATGACTTACTTTTAAATGGCTCAGGGGAAAAATAAACAACAACCAAAAATATAATGTATACAGTGAGAGAGAGCAAATATCACAAAATGTTAGCAATTGCTAATTCTAGGTTGAGGTAGGCAAACCATGGCTTTATGGCGTGTTTGCGTAAATTTTACTGAAACATTGCCACACCCGTTCCTTCATGTCTATGGCTGTTTTCTAGCTACGACAGCAGACCTAGTAGTTGTGGCAGAAACCATAGGACCTGCAAACCCTAAAATATTTACTATCTAGCTCTTTACAGGAAAAGCTTGCCAAGTCCTGGTCTAAGCAAGGGTATGTAATATTCTCTACATTATTATTTCAACATTTCTGTAGGTTTCAAATTTTCCAAAATAAAAACTAAAGACATCTACCCCAACAAAATAGCCATGGTTTTACTGCTGTTGTACAGTAGGTATGCTGGTGCCTGGCTTGAGACCCGACAGCTATAGCCATAGCTGACTTAGTGCTTAATGACCCATTTAATGAAAGCAAGCAACATTTCAATGCATATAATAAAAGCACACTTTTTCTAAGTGTTTTCAGCAATTTATAAATCAGTATTTGAATTTAAGTCCATTCAGTAAGCCATGTGAAAAATGTAAATACCACAGACCCTTAAACATTGAATAGTACTGTTATTTTAAAGCAAAGTTTTCTGGAATATTAGGCACATTTTTCACAGGATAATGAAAAGGAAAAGACAAATATAGACAAATATCTATAGAAAACATCTTTAAATTGGTCTAACGTCTATTTCCCCCCCCCCCAAAAGAATAAGATACAGAAATATACAAACACTAAATGAGAATGAGAATTACAAAGAAGCCAATGGAAAAATCATACTTGATGTAGTAGCAAACAGCTTGTTATTTAACACACATGGAAACACCAATACTTACACAATCCTACATAATAAAGAGGTAATATGCAAATTAACCCTCATGTCCTCACAAGATGGCTGCCTACAACCAGGCCAGCAGGGGGGGTTAGTGAGGAACAACCAAATAACTGAACAGCAGGCTGCGTAGGACGACAAGGCCGGCAGGGGGGCCGTGAGGGGCGACCAGGCCGGAAGTGGGGTGCAGTTAGGAGAGACCAGGCTGGCACGCAGAGGCAGTGAGGGGCAACAAGGCAGGCAGGCAGTGAGCGATTAGGAGCCAGCAGTCCAGGACTTGAGAGGGATGTCTGATTGCCAGTTTAGGTCCAATCCCCGGGATCAGGCATAAACCGGCAGTCGGACATCTCCCAAGGGGTCCCAGATTGGAGAGGGTGCAGGCTGGGCTGAGGGGAGCCCCCACCCCGTGCATGAATTTCATGCACTGGGCCTCTAGTATTCCATAAAACACTGGTAATGCAAAGTGCTCAGAAAATGAGCTGTTTTATGTTTAAGTTGCTTCATAGCTGAGTTTTTGCCCTTTAAGCACAAGAAGGTTTTAATGAGAATCTGTAGCAAATCTATTACAGTCCCATGACTTCATAGATCCATGTGATTAAGTACCTTGATGGTTAAGAACTATAATCATGACTCTGACAGCTGTTCGGGAGCTCTTACTCAGAAGATGCATTGCCCACTAGGAGCAGAATGCTATTTCACTTAAACTCTCTGAGTTCTTGTTTCCATGTTTCTAGTTTTGTTTTGCTTCAGTATTTCTTGCTTTGCTATCAGCACTCACTTTGCCTGTCTAAGGGAAGTCTAACCCTAACAATTGTTTCCTCACCCACTCCTAATTTGCTGTATTTTCATCTGCTATTGGCTTGCCAATTTACGATGCTCAGCAGTGTTCCTCTCCTCCCACTTCCACATGGGGCAAATCTGATTCACAAACTCAGGAAAACCTTTCTACAAGCAAAGCTTTGGAATACATGTTGTAACAACCACCAAGTCTTCTGCCGTCTACTACAGTAGCCATTAGCCACAAGTGGCTGTCAAGCATTTGAAATATGCCTCGTACAACCAAGAAACTGATGTTTAAATTTCATTTAAGTCCGATTGATTGAAATTCAAATTTAAAAATTGACACTTGATTTGGCTGTTGGAAAACTTAAGTATGTTTGGAATAACTGGGGTATCAAATTCTACGTTTTCTACTGTAAATTTTATGAGCTCTAAATACAGTTATAGTATTTCCAAAAAAAATTTGGCATTTGAATTGAGATACATGGCAAGTTGTAAGATACTAAATGGATTGTGAAGACTTTGTGTGACAAAAACGTGAAATATCTCAATAACTTTTAGCATGGATTACATATTGTAATGACACTATTTAAATAGACTAAGTTAAATCAAATATATTATTAAAATTAATTTCACCAGTTTCTATTCACTAATGGAACATTTAAATTTGCATATGTGGCTCACATTTTATTTCTATTGGACAGAGTTGATTTCACCTTAAATTTTTCCCCCTGATTCTTAACTGTAATCTAAATAGAGAAGAGCTAGTTAACTGTGGGTTAAGTAGTTTGCAGTAGCACATTTGCACCTGCTAATGACATACACCACAGTTGTTAAAGTTCAAAATGTTACAGTTGGAAAGTGACCAACTCCAGCCCTTTCCCATACTCAAGAAGACACGACCCTGAAGCTACCAGACCATCAGTCCTTCGGTTGCAAGGGCTCTTTCTGACATTGACTCTTTATCCTGGGACCCAGCATAGCCCAATGCAACCAAACAGGTGCTCAAAATATGTGCTGAATGCATGTGCAATGATTTTACTTTATTGTATCAGACACATGCGGAAAAAGAGAAAAACTCATTGGTGCTTACCTCACATAAAAAGTACTAGAGCCCTAGCTGGTTTGGCTCAGTGGATAGAGTGTTGGCCTGAGGACCAAAGGGTCCCAGGTTCGATTCTGGTCAAGGACACATGACTGGGTTGCAGGCTCGATCCCCAGTAGGGGATGTGCAGGAGGCAGCCAATCAATGATTCTCTCTCATCATTGATGTTTCTATCTCCCTCTCTCTCTCCCTTCCTCTCTGAAATCAATAAGAATATATTTTTAAAAAATAGTACTAGAAAAAGGAAATAATATTACTATTACTGAAATTAGGAATGACATTTTTCCCATACAAAGAAAAGTTGGGAGAGAAAGAGATGTAGTTAAGCTTGAGGGAACACTCGTGTCCCTGGATGCTCCAAGCAGCTGTTAATATCACAGTATTGCTGTAGTTTCTGGAACAAGCTTCCCAGTTAAACGACATACTGTGGAGGGAATGTTTTACTCAGCATATAAACAGAACCAACTAGGAAGTTTAGGGGCTGAAAACCATCCACATCTTACCTGTTTCCAGGCGGGGCACAGAGTTCCGCATAGTACTTGATTTTGGGCTCTGTCCCGCTGGTCCGCATGGTGGCCACACATCCATTCGCAAAGGTAAAGGAGATCATTTGGCTGCTTTTACTAGTAGGGAGAACCTAGGAATGAATTATACACATTCTGAATGTATATAGTAACAGAAACTCTTCTGGCCTAAATAATAGTTTCCTCTAGATAGGCAAGAAAATAAATGCCAAGCAACTATATTGGTTCAGGAAGAAGAACATTGTGGAGAAAATCTGAAAGTGCACTCCATACAAATGACACACTAGATAATAATAAAAAGGAAATGTGTGAAATTTAAGTAAACTTTGTAGGCTTTTTACCTCTTCCGTTCTACTCATGAAAACGATTAAAGCTTTACTAAAATTGAAATATATAATTTCACAAGAAATTGATTTAAATGGATTAATGATGCATTACAAAAAATAAAAATAAAAACAATACTAAACCTTACTTAACTTTGCAAAAATGTCTATGAACAGACTTAAAAAATAAAGCTTCTGGCGGATGTATTCATAACTGGAAGCCTCACTAAAATGACAGGAGTATGAGAAACAAAACAAATACAAGGGCAAAGAGGAAGAAAGGGAACCGCAGTAGATGGGGTTGCCTGCCAATCTGGGAAGTCAGAAAACAGATGGAGGAGCAGACCTGCCCCGGAACATGGGGTGACAGCTGAGCACTGCAGGCGAAAGACGAGAACCCAGTCAAGGTGTTCTGCAAAACCTGCCAAACTCACTACCTGAGGCACCAGGTACTGCAAAGGGCGGGGGAAAGGCAAGATGGTATTTGAAAGTGGCTGTCAGACCCTCTCGGATGCTCACCCTCTGCCATATTAATACAAGCACAGAATCTCATGTCACCCTAAGTTATGGTATAAATGTATTGTGAGGACAGGGAGGAAGGGGAATGGTGAATGCTGGAAGTGTAAGAACTAAATCCTTATCTCCATAACAGAAAATTAATAGAGTCTTACACTGATAATTCAAAACATCACCACATAAGCACGGTATTTAGAAACCTGTTGGTAAAGTCCAGGAGAAAAAACTGAGAGGGCATGTGGCTGTCGATGCATGACAATGAGATGGCAGTGGTTGGATCTGCCATGTTTCATTGTAACTCTTAATACTATTTATCTCTTAGTAATATACGGTGTATTGCCCGGCTGGTGTGGCTCCGCGGCTGAGTGTCGACCTAAGAACCAGGAGGTCACAGTTCAATTCCCAGTCAGGGCACATGCCCAGGTTGTGGGCTCTGTCACCAGTAGGGGGTGTGCAGGAGGCAAGCCGATCAATGATTGTCTCTCATCCTTGATGTTTCTATCTCTCTCTCCCTCTCCCTTCCTCTCCGAAATCACTAACAGACAAGAGTTTGATGAAAGTGGATGTGACTTACCGCTTTTTTGTCAGGCTGGCCATCATCATAACCAGTGGTAAGGTCCCTAATGCCAGAGATCTCAAATCTGCCACAAGTTTTCGGATAGTTATTCTTCCCATCATAGTTTCTAAGGTTCTCAAATAATTTCTTAATGGTTCCTTGATCATGGCAGATAAAATATGAAGCTTTGGTAATATGGTAGCCATACCTATCAAAACAAATACAAATACATGCAAAATGAGGAACAAATAATTCTGCATAGCGTATACAGAACGGGCACCAACCAGCACATTCTCAAATACGTAATGAGACAAATGACCATGACTAGCTTCAAAGCAATAATTTAGCATTAAAAAGGAGGTACAACAATTTACCCGAGGGCTCACCAAGCTGCTACCTTGCCTTCAGCCTATATTTGTAAGTAAAATTATACTGGAACAGCCAAACCGCGCCCATTGCATTATGTACTGTGTCTGCCTGCTTTTGCATCAGAAAGGCAAGAGTTGAGAAATTGCTATAAAGACTAAATAGACGTTTAATGAACACATTTAATCTTTTTTGGCATCAGACACTTAAAATCACATTCTGTGTCATGTTCTCATTTAGTAAAGATTAGTGCTATCACAAATGGTAAGTATCAAAAGGAAAAGATAATCTATTTCGTTTTCTTAAGAAATAGAATTCATAACTAAAGTCAGAGCACGGGAAAGAATATTAGCATCTCATACGCAAAAAACATAATACACTTAAAATACATTGCCACCTGTGGTAATGTATGTTAATGATTTATTGTGGCAACCATGTCCCAATATATACACATATTGAATCATTACATTGTACACATGAAACTAATCAAATTATATTACTTCAATTCCATAATCAATAGAAACTTACTCAACATAGATGGCCTTTAGCTGCTGAGACAGAGACAAATTTTTGGTTGCAAGAAAGCTAGCCAGCTCTGCGCTTATGACGGCGGCACTGACTCCATCTTTGTCCAGAACAAAAGGGCAGCACATGTATCCTGCAGAGACACGTCAGACACAGACACTTAGGAGTGGGTTCCTTTATAACATTGTGGTGCATGTATCTACACACACCCTGCCTATCACATAAGTGGTTTTACAGTATAAGTAGATGGATGCTTCTCATTTGCCAGGATTATAGTTAAGAACCTAGCCAGTGCTCAGCACATAGTAGGCCTTCAAGAAGTATTTGTTGAATAACCTGTAAGGAGAGTCTTCCTCCCAGACAATGGTGCTTGCTTCCTAGGTCCAGTCCAAATTCCTCCAGCTCCCACAGAACTGTTTCCAGTTGTTCTAGTCAAGGCTTACGCTGTCTTCTCTGAATCCCCATAGTTCTTGTGAGTTATATTATTCATCTTGGTCCCTGGCCTATTGTCTTCTGTGTGGTAATTTAACTAGATTCTTGGCAACTGCTGTAGGCAGAGGTCAGTGCCCATTTCTTTCAGAATGACTGTGTAATTGACATGCAATAAATATTTGATAAGCCAATGCAAAAATACTATTAAATAAAAAGCTATAGAAAGAGAAAACTGCCAATTGTGAGCAAAAAAGAGCAACGCTGAGCAATTCCACTTGTTTTAATTGGTTCAGTTTTATGGGTGCTGCAGGAAATATGCAGATGAATCAGAAAAATACATATTATAGGATAAATATGATGTGTCAGAGCTTTTGCTGAATGAATAGCTAAAATATCCCCAGCACAAACATCTGAGTTTCAGGTGTCTGTGGCTCACTCTCCTTTCTGCTCATTCCTATTGATAGTTTAAGACAAGTGTTTTTCTGTCATCCTGGCTGGGCTTGGGGTCATCCTTTCAGGTGACAATCACTTTGATGAAGGCACCACGACTCGGCCTTCTTCCCTGTGGACAGAACACTTAGGTCTGGATATCAACTCCACACTGGAGGAAACAGCACACTCCCCAACAATGTAGATTCTTAAGCTGCCAGCAGCCATGTGCACAGTGTTGCTGCTTTCAGTCGTCTGGGGAAAGGATTCACTTTCTTACACTAATGGCTTGGTTATCTGCCAGATATTCTTTCTAGCTGAATGCAATCTGAGATGCCAATTTAGGGAGAGGACAGCTCAACGCTCTTTGAATGCCACAGAAGCAAAGCAAACTGTGTGCTCCTGTTTCACACTAATTTACTGAACCCAAATCCAAATCCACATCTTTTCCCACATATTTGCATTCTGTGTATCAACAAATTCTATGAGCATCACATGGCTTCTTACCAATAGCTTCTTCAAATGCAAATAAGACATTTTTCCCCTGGTCTATTAGCTGCTTGGCTCGGTTTCCCATCCATTTAAAGCCAGTTAATGTTTCCTAAAGGGATAGTCCAAAAGAGGAAAGACGTGTCTGAGACCTTCCGTGGAGCAAATGATAGGCGAAAGACTATGTGCCCCCAAAACCCTTACCTCAAAGTGAAAACCCTCCTTTAAGGCAATGGCCCGCAAGATTTTGGAGGAGACGGTGCTGGACAGCATGTAGGTGTCCTTGAGGGCACTGGGATCTTGATTCTTTTCTTTCCAACAAGTAAAGAGCCACCAGCCCAAGAGGGCCCCCAACTCGTTGCCAGAAAACACTCTCCATTCACCACTGAAAGAGAAAACAACCGTGCACTGCCAAGGTCTCCAAAGGCACTGGGAGTCCCTGCAGCAGGACAAGGAAGCTCAACAAGGTTCAAGGTCGTCTCTGGAAGACGCCCTGTTACTGTTGTTTAAATAACTGGCCAGAAACGTGGCTGCTGCTCCCAAACATGTGAGCATCTATCACGTCTCAGCCAGTGTCAGAGGTGACACGCGAACTCATTTTTTTGGTTGATTTTTCTTTGTTAAATGGCATTTAAATGTATAAAATAAATATCAAAAATATACATATTTGTTTTACTATGGTTGCAAACATCAAAAAATTTCTATATGTGACACGGCACCAGAATCAGGTTAGGGTTTTTCAAAATGCTGACACGCCGAGCTCAAAGGGTTCGCCATCACTGGACTAGACAAACAGCCAATCTTTGAAGAGCGTGTAAAAGTATGTCAGTGATTACACATCATTCCTTTTCTCTTTGTTTTCAGCAAAGGCTTTTTCAACACAACAGGAATATGCTGACAAGATCCCCCAACTATACCAGTGTGTGCGTCTTAATTTTCAGTCAGTTTTATTGAGTCTGAGAGGGCAACAGCTTAGCATTCCTTAAGACTGAGCTTGATGCTAAAATGGTGAGGACGCCAAAAACATGCGTGGGATTTATCTTCCTCTCTGTGGTCCACGTGGCTAGAGGTGCATTGCATGTTCCAGCACATGTATCATCTTAGCTTGATTTTCTAAAATCGGATATAGAATTGATTCTGTTTCATCATAATCTAAAATCCTAACCCTTTAATAGCACCACACTCCCACACTCCCCGAAACGTCACATATGCCATCTGACAGCTGAAACTGCTTGATCCCTGCCTGCCTTTCAACGCCTCCCACCCCGCAATTTATCACCCCTCTGTGCACACTCTACAGCAGTGGTTCTCAACCTTCTGGCCCTTTCAATACAGTTCCTTATGTTGTGACCCCAACCATAAAATTATTTTCGTTGCTACTTCATAACTGTAATGTTGCTACTGTTGTGAATCGTAATGTAAATATCTGATATGCAGGATGGTCTTAGGCGACCCCTGTGAAAGGGTCGTTCTACCACCAAAAGGGTCGCGACCCACAGGTTGAGAACTGCTGCTCTACAGTCAAACTTGCCTTATACTGTCAGTACTCCTCTCTAGTCTGCTCAACCTGAGTTCAACATTTCCTTGAAGGTCAGCTCATTACCAAACCTGCTGGCGAATAAAGAACTGCAAAGCCAGCACCAAGCAAAGCACTTTGTCCTCATTAGGCACTGAGTCATTAATTATAATGAAATCAGTGATAAAAAGATAACAGGGAGTGATTTCAATTCCAGGTTCACACTGGGCGGGTTCACTCTGCACTGTGCTTGCAGAGTAATCGTGTGGCCCCCGTGTCAGCACCCTGCTCGGTGTTGGAAGACTCTCCAGAAACCCAGTGAGACGATCATTTGCAAAGTAAATGGGAAATATTGCCAAATAGGTCCAGTCTCCCCAGAAGCATTTTCCTGCCCGGGATGTCACCCTTTATCATTTCTATTATGTAGGCAATCACAATGAGTTCGTACCTGTCTTGCTTTTCTGCTACAGCAAGTCTATCAGCATCTGGGTCATTAGCTAAAATGACTTTGGCCTTGATTTTGTCAGCCAAAGCAAAAGATAAAGTCTGAAAAAGAGCAGAAAGAAAGAATATTTCCCATCAAGAATTGAGGACATTGCAGTCTTTAAAAACGTTCAGTTATTTAAGAACCAAAAGAGAATTTTCCCCAAACTCAGGCTGAATTTTATTTCTGGAGCTGGTCTTGGCTGGTCATGTATTACTTCCTGAGCCAGGTCAGATAATGAGAGAACCAGCGCACGACCCAAGACTGCCCATGGAATTCACCCCACAGCTGATCGTGTGTGTGCAGCTAAAATGGTATCTCCAGGCTTCCCATGTGATCAACCTCACAAACAAACCAAAACAAACTGGCTCTCTGAATCTCATTGTTGCCCTACCCTTTAAAAGGCTGAAGGAACCATAATTTAAATAGTACTTCCTCATATCAGAAAAATGACAATTAAGGAATAAAATTCATGGGAGGACAAATTTCCATTATATTACTGTTTCCTTTTGGCATTAAGGAAGCATAGTAACTTAAACTTAATTCATTAAATTTAATTTAAAACATTTAGATTTCAGCCCTCATATCCTGATGCTAACATATCTAATTTGAAAGTTCCTTTAAGAAATGGATGATTAATAAATATAAATATTTCCAATGATGAAATTATTTTTGTTCCATACAATGAAAGCACATAAAAAACCGCATTGTACTTGGTAGTCATAGTTTTGAACAGAAGAGGTAAGCTTTATAAATAAAAATATGAGGTTACCAAGACACCTTCACCCTCTTCGGGATTCGGGTATTTCACTGTTGGGAACTCAGGATCGGGATCCTTCTGTTCGGGAACAGCCTCGGGAGGAGCAAAGTCAAAAGCCCGGAAAGCCGACTGCACAAAGCGGTGGCCCACGCCGTGGACGGAGGTGTGCACAAACTTCAGCTTGGTCTCCTTGTTCACACTCCTGGAACCAGACACGTCACGGAAAATGATCAAATACACAAACGTGACTTTCAAAACGGGAAGGTTTGCAAAGTATCAAGGAACCAGATCCACAAGACATCAGTGTGAACAAATGTACAAGACAACGAGGGTCTTTCTAATCGCATTAAAAAAACTTACTCCTCTCTAATATAACACCCCTCTTCCAACAGGCTCAAATTTTAAATTTTACTCTGCAGATACTTTCAGCAAATCTGATTCCTGTCAGAGTTTATGGTGCAGCATTCACACCGAGAGCGGGAGAGCAGAAAGAGCCCTGGGCTCAGGCTCCAACCTATGGCAAATATCTGATATATAATAAACACTCAATGAGTATTAGCAATTGTTTGAGAAAAGTAGTTTCCAATTGGTCAAAGAAGGATAGGTTCTTCAATTTAACATGTTGGTACAACCACAAACCTTTTAGAAAAAAAACACACATAATTAAACAAAATTAAAAATCACCAATGACTCAAAAGAGTTAAATATTACGAAATATAAATATACAAGTCCAAAAAATAGGGGGAGGTTTGTTTTTTTTTATAATTGTGGCGTAGAGCCTTCTTAAGTATGACACAAAACCTGGAAGTCATAAATTAAAAACTGGTAAACATCCAATTTTTATAGAAGTTCAGCAGAAAGATTCAATGAAAAAATCCAAAGGCAACACTGGAAAGGAAAATATTTGAAAATAATGTAGTCCAGTTTTCTACATAGGCAAAGAGGTTTTACAAATACAAAAGATGAACAAATACACAGAAAAATATAGGTTAAATAAATATGAAAAACAGCTTATTTAGAATGCAAACAAAGTGAAATATTACTTTAATTTAACGAACTGGGAAACATGAGAAATTTGATAATACTCAGTGAGGTAAGAATGTATGGCTCATATCCCGTTGGTGGGAGTGTCAACTAACATTTTTGAAGAGCAATTTGTAAACCATTATCAACTTTGTAAATGCACATACAATTCTGACGCCAGAAATGCACCTAAGGATACACATGCAAATATGTACACTTAGATACACACACAGACACGACCCACGGACTCCAGTAACTGCTCAAGAGTTCCTTGGAGTGGGCCAAACTGGAAACTCTTAGCCTTTTGTTTTTTGTTTTAATCCTCAGAGACATGCTCAGAGGGAAAGAGAGAGAGAGAGAGAGAGAGAGAGAGAGAGAGAGAGAGATCGAGATCAATTGAGAGAGAACCATCAATCAGTGCCTTCCCTATGTGCCCTGACCGGGGATTGAACCCACAACCTAGGGATGTGCCCTGAGCGAGAATCGAACTGGCAACATTTAGGTGCACAGGATGACACTCAACCAACTGAGCCGCTCCAGACTGGCAGAAACCCTTAGTCTTTGTGAAGCTGACTCAGAGGGACAGAAGGAAGGCTCGAAGAAGTGTTTTACTTGTTCCCAACATTTAAAAATTAGGGGATTTCACAAACCAAATCTTGGTTTCCAGTTTCTTTCAGGGAGAAAAAGTCAGATGGCCTGGCAACTCCGGATGACGTTTGCACAGGGTAACGCCCAGCTGGCATGGCTGCTCCTTCATATGTGACTGAGGTTCCAGAGGCTACGCGGGGGCCTGCCCTCCCAGGTGGTCCAATAACTACATTATTAGAGACAACCTAAAAAATTCCACTTCCTGAAAACCAGTGGTTTCTTGCTCGGGGGACCATGAGGAGTGGTGGACCCACAGCAAACTACGGAAGGACGACACTGCCTCAGCTCGTCTACTTCTTATTTCATGGTCATTACTGAGTCTGTGTCACTGGGTTAAATAAACGGGCACAGCAGACATTACAAAAACAAGTGTCAGGACTAGCAGGGGGTAATAGAGAAAGTATCCGTGACAAATTAACTGGAGAGAAAAGGCATCGCACAAACAACACACACGGTATATTCCTATTGATGGGTTTGAAATATATTGCACATATGTATGCTTGCATATGCACAGAAAATTTCTGGAAAGCTGAAAAAAAGTCAGTGTTTCCTACTCAACACCTTTTAACAAGTTTTATATATACATATGCTAGTATACACAGACACATACACTTTCATATACATATATAAGTCTACAGCAGAGGTCAGCAAACTGTGGCCTATGGACCACCCACCTGCCAATAAGCCAAACCAGCTAGGGCTGCTTTTGTAAACAAACTTCTTTTTTGGAACACAGCTAGGTCTGCGCTCATTCATTTACATATCATCTACAGCTGCTTTCCCACGACAGCAGAGCTGGGCAGGTGTGACAGTCTACATGGCTCGCAAAGCCAAAAATATTCACTATCCGCCTTTTTAAGGAATGTTACCAAACCTCAGTCCACAGCCTCTAAAATCAGACGCAGCTACCGTTTATGTACCAGGTGAGGTGAGAGAGCCTGGCTGAATCACACTAACTGAACTCACCTGAGGTGAGTGTGCAATCCATTTACCTGTGAAAACAGTATTTTCTAAGGTCTTCATAGTAGTCCTTACTGATGGAAGCACTTGGGTCGTGAAGGAGCGGACTGCCGTTAAGTAAGGAATCATCCCAAGCTTGGGGCCACGGCTCCAGGTTCTCTTCAATAGCTTGAGAAATCCCCTTGTCGTGCGGGTGGGTGATCTGAGCTCCGTTAGCCCAGTAGACCTGAGAACGCAGGAACACATCCAGACAGGATGCGGTTAATGGAAACGCATCCATTCCCCGTGCTCCCAAACTGTGGAGGGTTAGAGTTCGCCGAGAAGGACATACGTGTGGACAGAAAAATAAAAGTACCTTATAACCATCGTCTTGCTTCGGGTTGTGGGAGGCAGTTATCATGATCCCAGCACAAAGTTTCAAATGCAGCACTGTGTAGGGCTGTCACGGCAGGAAACAACAGTTTTGTTTTTTATAATATATCATCTTTTTTTTTTATTGTCTAAAGTTTTACATGTGTCTCCTTTTTCCCCAATTGACCCCCCAACCCAGCCATTCCCACCCGAGGCAAGCCCCCACCGCCCCAGTGTCTGTGTTCATTGGTTATGCTAATATGCATGCATACAAGTCCTTTGGTTGCTCTCTAACCACCACCCCCGCCGCCCCCCCCCACCCCCCCGGCCTCACCATTTGTCTTTGGATCTACTCTTGTTCATCAAATTATGTTGATCATTATAACCCACATATGAGTGAGATCATGTGGTATTTATCTTTCTCCAACTGACTTATTTCGCTTAGCATAATGCTCTCCAGTTCCATCCATGCTGATGGAACAAGAGCAGTTTTAAACACACACATTAGGTATATGTAAAATGTCTATTCTAGGTATATTGTTTGTATCAAGTTGTTCCCTTTTAATAAACATAATATATAAATATCATAACCTGTCATTCAGTATTTTCGTGCCACACCCAAGCAGTATACTCTTATTACCCTTGGAACTAACTCACTGCTCAAAGTTCTGGAACATGTACCCTAATAAGGAGAATATTTTCCTAGGTGCCTTCTTCTCGTTGTCTTCTACCTGGTAGAACTAGAAAACTCTCCAAAGCATAACATGGTCTAATCTTCCATTTCACATTCTTTTAAGCCTTCTTCTTGGGACAGAAGCGTACAGATCCCGTTTATTTCCTCTCACTGCTTTCTCTTCTCTTCTTTCCCCCTACTTGCTTTTAAGGAAAAAATTATATCTTGTTCATTTATCTTCGCTCCAGAAAAAAAAGCTCCCTCTCTTGTATTTCTACTTTACAAGACTACTCCTATCTTTACAAGACTACTTCTCAAAATGGGGAAAGGGGCCTGGCCCCTCTGTGGCCGCACACGGGATTTGCCAAGCACAGGCCACCGAGATCTACCCGCGTGTCCCTCCACCCTCCCATTAAGTGGCTATTAGTCCCCTTAGGGGTTATCTCACATCCGCCATGTGTCCTGGAGCAAAGTAAAGGGAGAACCACTCCATGGAGTGGGAAGTGACCACGAGACACTCATTTAATCCATGTCTGATATAAAAATAATTGCTATTGCCCTGGTCGGTGCTCAATGGTTAGAGCATTGGCCCAAGGACCAAAGGGTCACAGTTTTGGTTCCTGGGTCAAGGGCATGTACCTGGGTTGCAGCTTACCTCCACTCTGGTCAGGGAGCATGTGGGAGGCAACCAATCCATGTGTCTCTCTCACATCGATGTTTCTTACTCTCTCTCTATCTCCCCCACTTCCTTTCTCCCTCCCATTCTCTCTAAAAATCAATGGAAAAAACATATCCTCGGGTGAGGACTAATAATAATAATAGTAATAATAACAATTGCTATAAACACTTACATAGTACAGAAAACCAAGGATGCTCAAAAACATTGCAATTTTCCCATCAAACAGTAACCTGAACCATATTTGAATGTGACATTGAGTGTCCCCTGGGTTATTATAATCTCGAAGGTGCTGCATCTACCTGTCAGTGCACTAGAGGCAGCGAACACAAACCAACGGGCATTACTTCTCCTATATCCATACGCGGTCATTTCTACTTAATGTAAGTAATGTATTCAGATCATGTTTTTGGCTTAATTTCTAAAAAAATATATTCTTAGCATCTGGCTCCGCTCATAAAAGTTCTATCTACTTAAAAACAACAGCTGCCACAGTCCCTATGGTCCTTTTCTTTAGATTCTGCTACATTAAGTATTTAATAAAAATCTTACTAAAACATGCCAAGCATGCTTTCTGTACTGGCCATGAATAATATTTAGAATGTACGTTTGCATAAAAAGCTGGTGCACCAACTTGTCAAAATATTCATGGTAAGACGTGGCTGGAGGTGAATTCAGATTTAGAAGATTTAGATATGAGAGGTTTTCTAACTGTAATAGCTGGGAAAAGCAACTACAAGCTAAATGAAAAAAACAAACACACACACACCAGAGACATTTTGCTAACAAGTGAAAATATCTTTTGAATACAAGAAAAAGGAAAACTGCACTTAAAAATATCAATTCTGAAAAATCAAAAGTTGAAATCAGAGACATATTACTAGAATGTGGGAGAAACATTCCTGGGGCGAAGAAAGGACACCCCATAAATGCCAGATGTTCTCCTGTCATCAAATACCTGATTCCCGATAGCACCAAAGCCTGTAAAATTCAGCCATGTCCCATCCCCAACCCTGTGACAGGAAATTATAAAATGAACTAGCTACTTACCACAAAAGGGGTTGGGGTTATATCAGAAAACAGGTACACAGGAATCCCCTGAGTGATAAACGTGGTTGCAGCAAGGCGGGCAAATCTGGAAACGCGAGATGGGGGAGAAAGGGGAGGAGTGGTCAGGATGGTGAGTGACCGTGAAGAAGGAAATGAATGCCTGGCCACTTCTCTAGATTGAGCACAGCAGCCAGAGCAAGGAAAACGTTAATATACTTCCATTGGCAGAGAATACTAAAGCGGGAGGAACCTTGGGAGTCACCTCATTTTATTTTTATACCCGTTTCACAGAAATGGGACGGAAGCTGAGAAAGGCCAGATAACGTGTCCCATGTCCAACAGACACGTAGCAGCTGAGCCGGGCCTACACCCAAGTCTTTCCACTCCTGGTCTATCTCAGTGGTTCTTGGCCAAGAGAAGTTCTGCCCCCAGGGGGATTCTGAAACGTCTGAGGACATTTTTGATCGTCACTGGGGGTAGGAGTAAGGTTCTACTGGGAGTTAGTGTGTATAAGTAAGGGACGCCACTAAACACTCTGCAGGGCAGTCCCCCACAACAGAATCATCTGGCCCAGCATGAAGTCGCATGTCAATAGTGCAGCGACTGAGAAACCCTAATGGAGAGCTATCGCAATCCAGTATAGACCATGCAGACTAGCATTTGATAACATGTTATCGTATGTGTGTCATATATATGTTTGTGACATATATGTATATGGCATATACATATCTTAGCTTCATTCAGCCCTTAAAAGACTTACATGTCACTGACATTTTTCTTAACTTCTACAGCTACTGGCTTATGGTAGGACACAGGGCATCAAGTCTCTATTCATGCTTGGAGTAAAATACTCTACCACATTAAATGAGCATTTTACTTCCAGTGAACAACATTATACATTACAGAATTAACCCGATCATTCATTCTCTTCCCAAATCCCAGGAGCTGGCGGGGCACAAGAGATCTCTGCACTTTTTTAACAGTGAAAATTCCTAAGATCAAGAGTAATACAAAATGATTTTGACAGAAAAAAAAGTCTCTTCATAGGAGAGAGTCATAAAAATAGAAAAATTCATCAAAAACAAGTTTAATAAAAATCTGAGTTAAATCTAAACTGTATTTCCTAGAATGAATGGCAAGGAAGTCACTTTCAATCTCACGAAACATTCAGACTGATTTTAAAGGCACCTTCTTAAAGTTGGCAAAGCAGACACTCAACACACAGAGCGAACAAAAGTAGGTTTACCGTTGTATGTGAAACACAGAGTTTATTCTTGTATTAGTATTTATTAATTATTGCATTCTTTTCAATACGAACCAATATATATATATGAACTAAGTTACAAATGTGCACACAAAAATTCAATGTGTTCTCTGCATATGCTTAACAGTTTTAGCGTATGTTCCCCACCCAATATTTAAAGTTGAAAGATTAAAGAATGAATAAACATTTCCTTGGGTAAAATTCTGAGACTACCGTAGTACCCAACTCGTTAAGAAGATTCCATTGACTGATCATGAGTGCTTTTCCATGTTTAATATTGAGGTTACAATCTCTAAATGCTTGCATGTTGTAGGTGATAGCCCTGAGCTCCATCCCATCCCATCCCATCCCATCCCATCCCATCCCATCCCATCACATCCCATCCCACTCTGAAACCTGAACCATAAACTTAAGTAGAATTAATAACATCAGTTACTTCTTGGAAATAATGTGGCTCCAAGGCCAGAGCAAGAAATACCTGTACTTTAATTGACAATGCTAACATATCTAAAGGATGTGTCAACCAAAAACAGGGTAGTCAGCCTGAAATGAAGAAACCTGAGAAGCCAAACAAGCAGAACTGGCCACACATACTGTACCTGCTCTGGCTGGGGGATCTGACCTGCCCCTGGGGTCAGTAAAACATGCGTATGATCTAATTCTAACAGCAAGTTCATGAACTGAGAAGTGACGAACTGCTATTCTGGTTGGTACAACATCACTCTCTTGAAAATGTAATCCATGTGCATCTGTCCCTGAAAGCTACAACTTCTCTCTTGCTTTGTTGGGAAAAAAATCACTTTTTTGAGCCTGCAATTGAAGATCAAAAACTGTAAGTCATCCTGAGTTCAATCTGGGGACTGATGTCATCTAGTCCTTGGCCCTAACCATGTTCCCTTCCTCACAGCCACACATTTGTTCCCATTAATGCTTCTCTCTTAGGCTACAAGTTCCTGAAAGGCAAAGATTAGGACTCTGACCTCAAACAGCACTGTAGAGTTCATGAGAATTTCATTAATATTAAATATTTGTGTGTTCTTCTAATCCAAGAAACTAATCCTTATACTCTGAAGTGACTAAAAAATTCATAATAGAGGAAGTATTTAAGTTAAAAAAAAAAAAAAAGGTCACATTGCATGATTAAGAGCAGGGATTGGCAATTACAGCTCATTTTGTAAATAGGGTTTTACTGGAACATTGGCATGCCCATTCAGTTATGTGCTGCCCATGGCTGTTTTTGTGCTACATGGCAGAATCAGTAGATGTGAAAGAGAGTGTACAACCCACAAGGTATAAGATGTTTACTATTTGCCCTTAAAGATTGTTGTAAGGATTAAATGAGTAATACCTAAGTGCCTAGATCACATGCAGCACTCAAATAATTGCTGTCCTGTCATCACTACTACCATCATATCACCACCATCACACTCATCATCATGACCATCACCACCATCATCACCATCATCACCATCGTCATCATTACCTTCCTATAGTTACATAACAGAGACTCCCATTGGTCTGTGAATGTTATAAGAATAAAGCTTGAAATGGGCATGCAAGAATGAAAGATCATGAAGCTTATGAGTAGTAGAAGAAAACATTACATAATAATAAGAAAGTGAGAAGGAGAAATAAGGTTGCCACTTAAAAAAAATTCAGTCATTTAGACAGGTATTAAATTCTAAATTGTCAAAATAATTTCATTTTCTTAACCCAAACATAAAACCGGAATTCTTAAAAGTTTGCAAACAGAATTTACCCATCATTTTTGTAGTTACACAATATAGCTGACAAATGTTTTTTAAAGGCAAGCGATTGAAATGATGATTAAAAATAAAACCACAGAATCACTCCAAAGAAATACTTTCACAAATATCTTTTTTGTTTGTTTTTGTTTTTTGTTTGTAAAATGTTGGGTAGTACAGTCAACCCTGTGCTATTCTCCAATAAGGGCTGCTCTCTCCAACCCTTTATTTTAGGAGGATTGTATCAGCAGAGTCTTGCTTCATCAGACTCAGCCTTCTTAGTCCTCCAGCATAAACAGCTTTATATACCTTTTGCTGCTGCTTCCACTTGCTGGGTGAGCTCGAGCATCAAAGCTGATCACGACACCTCTTTGCTTAAGGTCACTGAATTGTTTTTCCAGGTATCTGCAAAATCCCTAAAAAAATACCCCATGGATTAAAAAAGTATATATGTTTTAACACATCATATGTGTATGATAAATTGGTCAATCAATTTTTCTCTGTTTCCACAAGAGAGCATTGTAGCAGAGAAGGGAGAACTCCCTCAGTAATTAAACAAACTGAACAAGGGGAAAACAAAAGCTTTATTTATTGTTGATCTACTAGTATATGTGTCAGGTAGTATGCTCACACTTAATATCTAATATCACTAACCCTAGATCAACTCTGCCAAGCAGTCCCACTTTTCAGATGGGAAAACTAAGACTCAGAGATGCTCAGTGACTTGCCCAGGTACAAGAATAGCAGAGCCTGGATTTGCTCCCCAGGCCTGGTTAGAGGTGTTCAGTGGGGGGTTAAAAGCACACAGCGTCTGTGCGTCTGGACTCCACTCTGCCACCTGCAAGCAAATGACAAGTTCCTTAACCTCTTGGTGCCTCAGTGTTCTTTTCTGTGAAACAAGAATAAGAATAGTACCTACCTCAACAGGCTGCTGTAAAGGTTAAATGAGTTAAAATATGCCAAGTGCTGAGAATCTAACACCGAGAAAGCACTAGGTGCAGCTGTTGGAAGCACTGTTTCTATTGTTATTTTCCTTTAAAGCCGACATTCCTTCTTTGCGTTAGTTCTAAGTGCCTGGGGACAGGGGAGTGTTTCTGATATTTCTGCCTGCTCTGTACCAGCAGCAGGTCAAAGGAACTCAATACGTTTGATAAGATTTTGACAAATGACTAATCTAAACGTGTTTGTTTATGATATTGTTTTTAATTAGGTAGAGGTCTTAAGGAGGCCCTATCAGTCCAAATACATGACACAGCCAATTATACAAATAAAAAGTATGCAGGTACGTGGGCTAGTACGCTTGCCTGGAAATGATAAAACACACAATTCCTGTATCCCAGTGGGTGCAATAACATCACTTCAATCTGAGATACGAAAGATCGCAAAACAGTGACCTTTGAATTCAACAGGTTCAGAATATTGGATAAATCAGGTTTTATCAGAGAACAAAGGTTGATCGGGTAATAACGATGGTTCGTATCACTTATTTCACTTTGGCCAAAGGAAGTCATTTTTGGTAGGGAGGATATTCCCAGCTTTGTTGCCAGAGCAGCGCCCATCTAGAACGCCTTTAGTTTTTCCTGGACAAAAACATTGTGTTGGGCATATATCCTGAGGTTGAATGATACAAAGGAAGAAGGACACATTTGTGTTGGTTTTGTGGGTTCCCAGAAAGAACTGATGCTCACATTCTAAAGCTTACAACAGGACAGCACCCTCTCTCCCTGTCCCTGGTCAACTGCTATGTTGTGATCCCAAAGTTCAAGGGGGCAAAAAGCTTTGGCCCCAAATCCTCACATCTCCAAATTGCTCAGAGACTCTGGAGCCTACTGAGGCTGAGGACCTGAGAGCATGGTTAAGAAAAGACTCAGTGCGGGATGAAGGCGGTTTCAGAATTGAAATGTTACCCTAGGACACAAGAAAAAAACTTTGTCTGGCTTCAAAAGGTCCAACTGTGACCAATATGAAAAAGCTACAGAAAGACAGATTTTTGACTCAAAATAATGAAACCATCCTTTAATGACAACCATTCTCCAAAGACAGAATGGCTGTTTCCGAAAACCATGAGTTCCCCATCATTCCTGTCTCATGGCTCAGTTAAGTAACCTAAGCGGAAATTACAACCTCAATGAATGAAGCAAAAACTACAAAAATTTCCCTCCAGTCTGTCCTGTTTCCCATTGGGTGTTCCCGACTCACATATATATGCTTCTGAAATCCAACCAGATGAATGTGAGGGCACCATTAGGAGAGGCCACACCAGAGACCAGCAGGCAGGGTGCGGAGGCCACAGGGAAAGCCAGCACATTCCGCCAGGTCACCCACCAAGGCTGGGAGTGGAAGCCTGTGGTGTGTGTCCTGGGAATCCTTGTCCTCTAATTTGGAAACCGTTCCTACTGTTGTCTCAACTCTTAACACCCTTGTCTCCTGTTGTAAGTGTTCCAGTGGAGGCTGGGTGACCACTTCGGAGCTGTGGGGACTGTGGGGATATTATCCCATGGGGTAGCTGATTATAAGAGACTAGAGGCCTGTTGCACAAAAAGATTCATGCAATAGGCTTTCCCTTCCCCTGGCTGCCGGCACCAGTTTTCCTCCGGCACCCAGGACCCAGGCCTTCACTCCGGCCAGAGCCGCCTTCAAGCCTTCGCTGCCCTGCCCGGCCGCCCCGGGTTGGGTCGCACACGGGACCCCCGCCGCCCCGGGTCACAGATAGCAGGCCCGGATGGTGGCAGGGCGGGATGGCGCTGCCCCACCCTACCTGCAGTATGCAAATTGGCTGCCATCTTTGTTGGTGATTAATTTGCATATTGTGCTGATTAGCCAATGGGAGGCGTAGCGAAGGTACGGTCAATTACCACATTTGTCTATTATTAGATAGGATGACCTTTAAGGGCTATGCTTGCATCTTAGTGTTGTGGGCTTCTTAGCTATCACAGGAGAGACCAATTCTTCTAGGGAAGAGGAGGTATGAGATAAGTCCTAAGACTTTTCTGAGGCTAGACTGCATAATTCCTAGAAACTAGATGGGGATGAATGCAGGAAAAAAGACTCTATGTTCAATGAGAAGCTCATAGAATCCCCTACCATTAGGCCTAATTGGCGGTGTGACCAATTGAATTTTCCAAAGATAGCTACACCATCCCACATGCTTCTCTCATGTGACACTGATGTTCCTCCAATGAGACGGGTGGCTACGTAACCTCTCCTTCAGCATGAGCAGCCTTATAAGACTCCCTTTTAACAAACACAACATGGTGGAATGAAGTGATATGGGGTGACTTTCAAGGCGACGTCATAAGAGTCAGTACAGCCTCCCCCTGGCACACACTGTCTGGATGCTATCCCAAGCCCCATGCTGTAAGGAAGCTCAGGCCACAGGCAGTGGTCCAGCCCCAGCTAAGATCTCAGCCAAGAGCCAGCAAGAACGGCAGACCTGTGAGGGAGGGAGCTCTCAGGTGATTCCAGGCTTCCAGCTGGCCCAGGTGACACCTGGGTAGCAGAGATCGGTTGTCCCCACTGAGCTCCACTCACATTGCAGATCTGTGAGCAAAATAAACTGTTTAAAAATCACTGTTTTGGGCGATTTGTTCTACAACCCTAGTCACTTGTCTTCTTAGGGTTTTGCTACAATGTGCCCAACTGCCTTTTATGCTGGGAGGTACATGTAAGGTACCCGTAGTCACCATAGTCAATTTTTTCCAGACTTTTCTTCCTCAGAATTAAAGTGACCTTCAAGTCTAAGTAATTGAGGAGACAGAAGAATCGGTTCTCCTTCATTTCCCTCTTAAATAGCTCTTCTGTTTTGTCAAAGGCTTCATCTCTCTTTCTAAAAGTTGGGTCTATTCCTCTGGCAGCAAAATTCACAGATGAAAGCAAGGGAACTCAGCAATAATTTCCACCCGTACTGTACATTCCACCTAAATAGAATTGGCTCCCGGTGATTCTGGCAGTTCCAAAAGCTTTCCAATGCTTGCAAAAATTAGGAGGCCATGAAAGTCAGTCGGCTTAGGTGGTGAATTTGCACTGGAATGGAAGATCCATGAGTCTGTTTTAATCATTATCATAGTCCCAATGTCTGGCACACAGTAGGCACTCAATAAATCTCTGCTAAATGAATGAGCGAATAAATAGCTGCATGAGTTTTGAAACAAGCACTGTTTCAACCAACTGCGTGAGCCTTGCTTTATGGAGTGAAAGTGTGATTCCTTGTGCCTAGACAAACCCACAAGACCTGTGTGTAATTAAAACAAGTTACACTTGGTTTACAAAGGGCGCCTGGGGTTAAGTTACTCAAATAAGGAGGCTGTTGGACTGAAGTGGCTGTAAGGCCTTAGTAGCCTAAGGAAGCAAACTGAAAGGTGAGCTTGTAAATGACTCAAGTAAAGAAATCAAAACCTGAGCTATAGAAGGAATGGGGTTTCTTTCCCCCTTCCCCATCTAGCTGGATTACAAAGTTAAGTTTATGATCATGAAATAAAAACTAAACAGTTGTCTGTCAAAAACAAACAAACAAAAGAAATCAAAACCTAAGGACAATCAACCACAAATAGCCACCAAGGCTTTCCCAAATAAGGTGATCACTTGAGCTATAGCCAATCTTTTCATTTCCTTGCTCTGCTTCTGCCTCTTCTCAATAAGCCTGTCTCCTAGCTCCTGTCAGTGGAGGCTTCTAACCATTTCCAGGAGTTTCGTACTCCCCAACTGGAATAGATTTTTGCTCAGATAGACTTAAAAATTTTTATTAAGCCTCAGTTTACCTTTTAACACTGGGGGTATGGTAAGAATAACTAAAACGCATAAAAATGTGGTACCTGTGTAGTCTGGATGATGGTCAAGTCGTTCATACGAGCGAATCCGGCTCCCATAGCGGCTCGGAGGCCAGCTGTCCCGAACTCCATGCGAGCCCCGAAACATTTCTGTAGTTCTTCTTTATTGCCTTCTGCAATTAGTTGTTTAACTGACTCCAAAGTTAAAGGATTCTGCAAAACACAAATGTATACACCAATATGGCCAGGGGAATAACAACGAAAAGTCTGAAATATAAAAAAAAACCACAACAATTCTACCCTGGGGGAGGAATATATGTATATATGCCTCATATGCAAAGTGTCCCCTTGGGAGTTTGACTAACCAGGAGTTCGATCGTTTGCTATGGTGTGCGCTGACCACCAGGGGGCGGCGCAGGATGAAGGAAGGCCCCAGCCAGCAGCCGCTAGGGACCCTACCCGTGCACAAATTTCGTGCACTGGGCCTCTAGTATATCATATATAGGCTTTTTAATATTTTAATGCTGTGGAAATATAAAGCAAGTTTTTTTGAATTAAGAGTGATATTGTGATTAACAAAAAATATATATTTAGTTTTAGAATAGAAATATATAGTATTTAGTCTTTCCCTTTATAATATAAGTATTATTTCTTTCCTATCACAGCAAGCAATTTGGGAAAAATGGAATGAACTTATAGGTTTTGGGGTCAAACACCCAGAATGGAATATTAGGCACACCACCACGCACCAAGTCCATTCACTTGGGCAAACAGTCTAGAATGTTCCTTACAAAATGAATTGAGGTGGTTTACATCAAATTTATTAAATTAATATTAAAACATCTTTCTGTGCCTGACACTGAGTTGTAATCAAATGTTCATTTTCTTCCCTAATGTCTTCAAATTTTTCCAGAGAGTGAAAGATTATACAATTTAAATCAAAACCTTATTTTTGCAGTGTTATAACTTGTACAATGATTTCACATACCTGGTCAAATTTGAATCTTGTAATGACTTCAAGAAGCAGACAAATAACAAAACCTCCATTTTACAGATGGAGACACCTCAGAGATTAATAGACTTGCTTCAACTGCATGATAAGCATGGACTTTGTGCTTTTTCTATTACATCCACTGCTTCAAATAGACATTCACAAGAACCAGTTCAGTTCACCTTACACTGCCCTGTTCTCTGTGTACAATAGTTGTAGAAAATGTTAAGTGACAGTCACATTAATTCCATACCAGACATTTTAAAATAAGAATTCACAAGAACAATAAAGTACTTTATTTCTATTTTACAGTCATCATCTCACCAGATGAACATGCAGGCAAATGTGGCCACATAATTAAACTTTGAAATGCTATTGCAATAAACCCTTGGCCTTTTGGAATTAAGCCCACATTTCCAGATTATTCCAGATTCACAAGGAATCCAATAAAAGCCCACCTTTTGGGCTAAAGCAGTGGTTCTCAACCTTGGCTGCACATTGGAATCACCTGGGAATCTTTTTAAAATCCTGATTTCTGGGCCTCATTCTCTGGAAATTCTGTTTCTTTGTTATGGGGTGGGGCCGCAACATTTGTAACAAAGAAACAGAATTTCCGGAGGATGAGGCCCAGAAATCAGGATTTTAAAAAGAATCCCAGGTGATTCTAATGTGCAGCCAAGGTTGACAACCACTGGGCTAAAAGCAATAACCACTGATCACAAAGCACAGTCTGACCAATCAGATCAGCAGATGCCTCAAAGAAGGGCTCAGGTGTGGCACATAAGAAAGGTTCAATCAATATTTGCCAAGCCAATGAGAAAACAGAAACTTCAAGGCCACACCCAATCTGGTGATTCTCGGTACCAATGCGGAAAATCCTAATCGGCCTTGCATGTCCATCAAAGACCAATAGCCTGAGAGAAACCAAGTGTGGCCCAGAGATAAGCATGAAAAGCCAAGAGGGCAACAGAGCTGAGAATCAGCGTGGGAGTGACCAAAGCTGACAGCAGCTAGAAGAACAGGGTGAAGGCCGAGTGGAAATGCAGGGTGACCTGCCGCCCTTGGGGGCTCAGACCAGAGGGCTGCGATGCTTTCAGCTAGCAGGAAGTCCCCTCTTGCTGCCTGTCTCCAGCCAAAGAAGAAACTGGAAGAGGAAAGAACAGAAGTGGCAGAAATTAGAGAATGAAAAGGACATCCCCTCCCTTCTACCCAGGGAGGTACCCTCTCTCCCAGGAGTGGGGAACTTTTTTCCTGCAAAGGCCATTTGGATATTTATAACCTCATTCACGGGCCATACAAAATTCTCAACTTAAAAATTAGCCTGCTCTATTTGGTCAGACATTTAATTACCTCATCCCTCATGCCTAGGCAGGGCCAGACCAAATGACTTCTCAGGCCTGATATGGCCCAGCGGTCAGACGTTCCCCACCCTTGCTCTATACAGTGACAACATTTGGTGGACATTAGTTGTTTATTTCTTCAAAGGGAAAGTTTTGTGGAACAATTCAGTACCAGCTAAGAGATTTCTACAAACTGCGGGTTATCAGAAATGGAGCCATTTTCCTGCCCTAAGGAATTGCAAGGCTATCTTTCCAGGAAAAGGAAAACCACCCAGCTGCCAATAGCATCCAGAAACAGGATGTGCCTTTCATGTCCAGGGCCAGGGGCAGAGGGAGAGGGAGGCCTGGTCCTGCAGACAAGACGTGCAATCTCCTCCATTTACTCAGCGACTACTTTAGGTGCAGGTGCTCCCCGCTTTTCCAAAGTGTGTGTTACAAAAGACCTGGTAGTGCCTGTTTTTGCTAACTGGAAAAAAAAAGGAAATCCAAAGAGGATTTTCGCCTTTATGAAAAAAGGTGAAAAGTGAAAGCAGTGGTCAGCATTTGTTTGGCAGCAGCCATTACAGAGGCAGAGGCACCCAGCAGCGACAGTGGCCGCGCCAAGCTCCTCCCAGGAACTACACTCAGCATCTCAGCCTCAGGCCGCCAGGGCTGTGCGCTGTGTCTGCAAGCACCTGTGCTTTATCTCGGTTTATTCTGCACATCCCTCAGCAAGATGTGGCCTCAGGGATCAGAAAAGCCGAAGGGCTCATAGGGTGTGTTAGGCTTAGCATAAAACTGAACGTAATTAAGCGTCTTGACCCTGATGAATGAAATGAAGACACGGTGTGTGTGCTGACCTTGCCTGCGTCCACCACTCATACTCTCTGCAGGCAGAGAGAACCCTGAAAGCTGCCGCCGTTACTATCAGTTCTGCTACTAGCAGAGTGGTCCTTCCCTCAATGGATAAAACGGAGAGTCTGCTGCTTGGCTGGACTGACAAGTGTACAAAGCGTGGTGTGTATTTACAATGTCATTCCTGCTTTTACTATGTGTACGGTTATTTTAAGCTTTATGTGTTATTTGGTATCACTCGGTACGTTATTTTTGGGGTCTGAGAAGGCTGAAAATATTTTCCATGTAAATTAATGGTGATTGCTTCTTTGCTTTCAGGCCTTTGGGCTTACCAAAGATTTCACAGGAAACCTCTACTTTCGGAGAGCGGGGGAAACCTGTATCTACTCTGCGTCTGCACTGTCAGGCCCTGCTGTATGACTTGTTGGAGTCCAGTGCAAAATGAAAAACGGGACCCCTCCTTCAACAATTTTTAAGAATTTCCAGACAGGACAGCAGAGTGTTTAACCAAGTGCTGGGCCCTCTAGGGGTAGGGGTTCTGTGCAAACCCCATCAGACCGCATGCCTTTGAAGTCAGCCCTGGAGACAGACATTAAACAAATAAACCTACAAATAAGTTTTGCTTGTTTGTTTGACCAATCCCAGTAAGAGCCGTGAAGGAAAAGAACAGTCTGTTTAGGGAGTGTATTAGGGAGAAATAATTTACCCTCAGGAGCCAGGGAAGCCTCTCTACATAAGCCACTGTGGCCTAAGGAGCCACATACTACACCAGACCAGCTCGGGGGAGGCCTGCGTGAGTGGAGGCCTTACAAACTCAGAGACCTAAAGTAACCACGTAGGATGGTCTGAAATTAAAACTTTTTAACTGCCGGACCGGTTTGGCTCAGTGGATAGAGCGTCAGCCTGTGGACTCAAGGGTCCCAGGTTCGATTCCGGTCAAGGGCATGTACCTTGGTTGCGGGCACAACCCCAGTGGGGGGCGTGCAGGAGGCAGCTGATCGATCTCTCTCATCGATGTTTCTAACTCTCTATCCCTCTCCCTACTTCTCTGTGAAAAATCAATAAAATATATTAAAAACAAAACAAAAAAAACTTTTTAACTAAAAGCAATTTATGGTGGGTAGTCATGTTCTAGGCTGGTATCTTCCCTGACAAAAGTCACTCTTGACCTTAATAAAGCCTGTCTATTGTCTTTTTGCATCTACCATAACATATCCTTGAAATATCAAAGTAATTTTCATTTTTCCGGACGTCTCAAAGCACAGGCACAGCTCTGCGGAGACCACACATGCCCTCATTGTTACTGAATTAATTGCTGACTGTTAACTATCCTGTACCCACCTGTGTAAAAGAAGTATGTGTCTATTATTGCTCTTTTTCTCCAATCCCAGAGGTTTCCCATTTGCTAGCTCTCACCTCCCTAGTCTGTCACCAGTGGATTTCATGTAACCCACTTACTCCTCTTTTGATTGCAATGTATAAAATTAGGAGCAAAACTGCCTGCCATTCTCGGAGCATTATCTCAATCCGTTGAGATTTTGCTTCCCGGCAACGTTTAACAGTTTGGCTCAAAGGAACTCACAAAAATTCTTCACAGGTTTGAATGTTCCTTCCCCTGACACCACACTTAAGTTTGGATTCGGAACATGAGTGACAGCGTGAGAAACAAGTTCAGCAGAAGTGAGCAGCGCGCATCCCAAGAACACCAGTAGCCGGCAGGAAGTCGGAAGTGGAGACTCCAGTTAGAGAGGAGAGAGGGAGGGAGGCATGTCTGAAGCGGGCTTCCCTCTCTGCTCCAGCATCTAAGAGAGGGAACAGAACTAGGGGTGCTGCGTCCAAGGGCTTCCCTCCCATCAGAGACCTAAGAAAGATGCCTGAAGTCAGGCGGGCCCAACCCATGTTTGCAACTAAGCAGCTGGGCGATGTGGATGGGAAGGCTGGTCGACAGAGTTCCGAGGAGCCAAAGGCACTGGCGGGACGGAACGATTCCGGGTGGCGGGGGATGCACACCCCGCTGCAGAGGACGAGCGGCGGGCGGAGGGTCGGAACGCGTGCAGTCCTCAGTTAGACAAGACCCCGAGGCCGGCCGGGTTCGGGCCCACCCGCTCTCCCCCTGCCTCCCGATCTGGCAGCCCCGCCGGGCGGCTGGCTGGTTTGGTCCCGGGCCAGCCTTTCCCGGACAAGTTCCGCAGGTGCAACACGCCGGCCGGACCAGAGGAGGCCTGGCCGCCGCTGCGGTCTCCCCGCCCGTCTCCCCGCGGGAGGGGAGGCCAGGAAGGAAGCGCAGGCGCCGGCACTCGCCTGGGGAGCAGGCAGAGGACCCTGCACCTCCTCCGGGCGCTCCCAGCCCCCTGGCGCCCCTCACCTTGTCCCACCGTAGCCACCGGGCTGTCTCCTGGTCCAGCAGGCTGTCCGTGCCGGGGCCACTGCCGCCCGGAGCTGCGGGCGCCGCCATCCCCTCGCTGCCACCACCGAGTTCAGGAGGCTGCGATGTCGCCCTTCCGCTGGGCAGGGAGAGGCGGAGGCGGGGCCGGGAGAGACGGAGGAGGGCGGGGAGGGTGGAGGCGGGGCGGGGCGGGCGGAGGCGAGGCGGGGACAGGCACCGTGGAGCCTGCGGGGCCGCAGGACAATGACGCGCTGGACCGTGAGCACGCCCCTTGCAGTTCATCCGCGCGCCTCTAGGGGTAATGGGCGGGGTAGAAGGGTGGGGTGGGGGTGGGAGTGCTGGGTCCTGTCCATCATCTCTGAAAAGGTCCTGAGGTCACCCCCATTCATAGGACACTCTTCACTGCGTTCCTACTATGCGCCAGGCACCGGGCCAGGTGTGGAATCCACGGATGGGTAAACCCAGGACCCTAACATTTAAGGAGAAATTCTGAAGGTCAAGAATAACCGAGAAAACTACTGTAAAAGAACAAAGTGGGAGCGTGAAAATAGACGCTGGAACAGAATGGAGAGTTTAAAAACAAAACTATACGTGTGCAGCTTATTGATTTCGGAGCAAGGGGAGGGGACTTTTTTTCCTCAGTGAGTGAGTGGTACAGGGTCAGCTGTATATCCATATAGAAAAAGGAATTGTGAGCCTCGAAGTCAGATCACATGCAACTATGCATCCCAGGCTAATTGCAGATCTGAGTGTGAAAGGCAATGTGAAACGGCTAGAAACTAGGCTAGGAGTCCATCTTCAGGACCTGGGATCACTAAGCCGTAAAGGATACGCTCACATGCTCGCAGTGAGCATGAAAAGTCAAGTGCAAGCATGTTTCTAGCAATGTCATGTGTACTAGTTCCAAACTAGACACAACTTAAATGCCCATCAATGGATAAATATATTGTGGAGTATTCATAGAGTGATATGAACAAATTATAGAGTATTCACATAGCAATAAAATGAACTATTTATTATCTGCAACACCATGGATCAACCTCACAAACATTACTTTGAACAAAAGAAGCCAGACCTTTCCTCCCACCCACACCCTCCCCCAAATACTGGATCATTCCATTTATACAGCACTTTAGAATATGTAAGAATACAGGGAAAGAAAACAGACCTGTGCTTAAGAACTAGGATAGGGAAATGAGTTGATACAAAAGGCACAAGGGAATTTTGGGGGGTGATAGAACTGTTTTGTTTCTTAACTGTGGCTGTGATAAACAGCTGTTTATCAAAACACATAGAAATGAATTTCACTGAATGTGTAAATCATATCTCAATTTTTAATACATATTTTTATTGATTTCAGAGAGGAAGGGAGAGGGAGAGAGAGATAGAAACATCAATGATGAGAGAGAATCATTGATTGGCTGCCTCCTGCACACCTGCTGCTGGGGATTGAGCCCGCAACCCAGGCATGTGCCTTTGACTGTGTGGCTTCCAGCCTTCTGCCAGGGACCCTTCTGGGACCCTTCAGTCCGCAGGCCGACACTCTATCCACTGAGCCAAACCAGCTAGGGCTCTCAATTATTTTTAATCTTATGACTTTTAAACTTTAAAAGGAGGCAAAACTAATATATGGACATCAGGAAAATAGTAATTTGGGGAAGGAAGAGGATGCCTTCTGGGAGGCTGGGACCACTCTACTTCTTGACCTGGGTAGTGGTTGCTCAGATGTGTTTGCTTTGTAATAGTTCACTGGGCTGTACTTAAGAATTGTGCATTTTCTGTGTATTCTATTTCATTTTGAAAAAGAAAACAGCATATATCCGGGATCTATGATATCTGCTTAAATGTAATGAAACAGACATATTAATCATATAATCACATCAGTTAATACATAATTACAAACTGAGAAAAATGTTTGAAGGGGGAGCCAGGAGATTCCACAGGGCTGCACGTTGGGGGTCAGTCCCAGTGTTGGGAGCTGCCCTGACCACTTGAAACTTGTGTGGAGACGCCAGGGAAGGATGCCGTTAACATCGGGGGAGGCAGCCTGAGAAAACGCTTTCCAGATAGAAAGAACCACAAGCATGGTCCTTCTAAGAAGAGAAGAAGGATGGGCAGCCTCGACCTCCCCATCTGTCAGGTGGTCTGCAGGTCTGCCATGTGATGAATTGAATGTCAGTAAAAAAAATTTTAACAAGGATGGGGTCAAGGATAGGTAACCAGGCATAACTCCAAGTCTCCCACTCCCAGACATCTGCGTGTCAAGGTCCTGATTGAACCCTTGTAACTGTAAATCAAGGACGTTTATAGTTTCTGTGAATAAAAGCTCGCCGAGCAACAAGCTCGGGGCTGCAGGAGGAGAAAGCCTGTGGCATCACTGGCCAGTTCAATAAATCCTCACTTGCTGTTTAAGACCTAATTGGAGTCGGTGGTCTTATTCTCGCGAATGTTGGTCGACAACATGCCACAGTTAGGATTGTCTCCTCTGTCTGCACCAGACCGACCTTCTTTCAATCTCACTAGGACAGACATTGCGGGACTCAGGGAGTCAGAGACCAGGCAGGTCTAGCTTGCACTTATTTCCCTCTCAAGTGCCAGAGCTCTCCCAGTGGGTCTGTGTGGCTTCCAGTGTGGGGGGCCACTGGCAGGCACAATGGGCGTTATTAAAAATATTGTCAACTGAACCCAGGGCGCAGGGTCAATAACAGAGCCAAGAATCTCAGGCCCAATCTCCAGATTTTCAAATCCAATGTTCAATCTCCTCTTCCCCTCGGCACATTTCTACACATGTCCATAGAAGGAAGTCCCATGAACACTGCTAACCTGTTTCCAAGTGAGAGCAGTCAGCTCTTGAGGAGAAAAAAATATTAACCACCCATGGCATGGATAAGAATAGATGATGCTCAAAATCACTTGATGTGTTTGTGCATGCTCCCCTGCTGCCCAAGAACTCTTCCAGACATGGATGTCCCATTTTCCTTGAAAGCTTTCCCAACTTTCCCAGACACCTTATCAGCAATCCTACCAGGCCCCTTGTATCCAGCCCAGGAGCAGTTATTTTGGAAAGTTTTAAATATTTACTGAAATTGATCCCCATGTTATTAGCAGCCAGGTTGACTGTGATCAACCCATGGCCATGCTTGTTTCATCTACCCACTTCCCGCTCTTGTATACTTAGAAGACGATTCCAGACATTATGTCACTTTGTCTATAAATATTCTAGCACTAGAGGCCTGGTGCATGAAATTCATGCACTGCGGGGGGGCGGGGTGTGTCCCTCAGCCCAGCCTGCACCCTCTCATAATCTGGGACTGCTGGTTCCCAACCGCTCGCCTGCCTGCCAGCCTGATCACCCCTTAACCACTCCTTTGCTGGCCTGATTGACGCCTAACTGCTCCCCTGCCGGCCTGATTGCTCCCAACTGCCCTCCCCTGCTGGCCTGTTTGCCCCCAACTGCCCTCCCCTGCTGGCCATCTTGTGGCAGCCATCTTGTGATGACATGGGGGTTGCCATCTTATGATGACATGGGCATGGCCATCTTGTGCGAGAGTGTGATGGTCCATTTGTGTATTACCTCTTTATATATAGGATTATATAGGATGTATCTCTAAAAGGTAAAGACACTTTAAAAATACCCACAAAGCCACAAAATCTCCTAAAAATTTTAAAGTTGAAGTTGACAATTCCTTAATATAATTAAATGTTCTTGTAGTGTTCAATTTTCAAATATCTAGGAAGTCTCTTTTTTTTTTCTACAATTTTCTTGAGTCAGGAACCAAATACTTTTGCCATTGGTTGATAAATGGTTTAGATTTCTTTTAATCTATCAGTTCTGCCTCAATTTCCTCCTGAATTATTTGTCGAAGACACTAAGTCATTTGTCCTGCAGCTTTCCCACGGTCTGGATCCTGCTGATTGCATCCCCATGATGCCGTTAACATGTTTTTCTGTCTCTTGTATTTCCTCTACATTCATTTCATTATAACTTTCTCTTCATGGTCTCTCCCTCGCTAGACCGCGAGCTCCTGGGGGTCAGTACTGGCGTTTTATTTACTTTTGCCTCCCCAGAGCTTAGCACTGTAGGTGCCCACTAAATGGGGGAAGAGATAAATGAAGCTGTGTGTTCTTTACTCGAGTAGGAAAAGGGAAGGCCCTAGAGTCCCGGCTGGATCCTGCCTCCACCTTTTGTTCTCTAAGGTGGGGGGGGGGGGGGGGGGGGGGCTTGGGCAAGTCACTCAACCTCCCTTGGGCTCAGTTTCCTTATTTCTAGAATGAAAACAATAATAGCTCACCTCCTAGGGATGATTTGGGACTTACATGAGGAAATAGATGTAAAATGCTTAGCATTACTTTCTGGGGTTGAGTGTTGCCTTTGATTTGTAAAATATGAAACATTTGTGAAGCTTAATAAAGCGAAGCACAGTACAATGAGGTATGAAGGTATCACACCTATGCAAACCTTTTCTCCCAAATAAGCTAGCATTTCTGAATTCGACCAAGAAAAATGAACTGCTTGTCACTATTCTCCAGGGCCAATTTTGAGATTGCTGAGAGAAGGAGTTAGTAATGCACCCATAAACTTTATCAGTATGCTTATTACTGGCCACAAACCCAAAGTTCACCAACAGCAAACAGTTCTGCCGATCAGCTGCAGTTTAATGTTCTTTCTCAGTGAAAAAAATGTAGAGATCTATTATGTACAGCTATGTTCACTAAACACATTCATATAATTGGCTAGTTTCCTCTTATCACTCATTTTATTTTTAAAAAATATGTTTTTATTGATTTTTTAGAGAGAGGAAAGAAGAGGGATAGAGAGATAAAAACACTGAAGTGAGAGAAACATTGGCCCCTTGAGTGTGGCTCTTCCTAAGCCTTAGGAGTACGCTAATTAAGTTAATAACAATGTACCTACCTATATAGTTTAAGTTTAAAAAATTTGGCTCTCAAAAGAAATTTCAGTCGTTGTACTGTTGATACTTGGCTCTGTTGACTAATGAGTTTGCCAACCACTGATCTAGACGAGTCTCAACTGGGCTGACTGGGCACTTCAAGTCTCTGCCACATATCTGTTCCATGCCAGTAGCTACCTCAGGAATGTCCTCATGGAGATGACAG